GAAAACAACCCGCTTCAACTAATTTATATGCAATTTCTGCCTCACCAATATGCCACCCTGCACTCTTGCTTCACTCCACAGCACACTCTTGGTGACACTGATCCTTTTCCAAAAGCAGGCAGGAGCAGCTATTTATGGCACATGAGCTCTTACACAGATCCATCTGTACCATTCTACCTACCAATGGGATGGTGACAAAAGGTAAACGTTAGAAAGGAATGAGATAGCTGGCAAAAAAGCCATAGGCAATAGTTTGAGAAAGATCTTTTTCATTTGCATGCATCTGACCTCACTGGTATTCACAAGTGATTAACATCAACTGCCATGGTCAACACTTAATTCACACTGAAAGCCGCTGCTGGTTTCACTTCATTAATATTGACATCTGAACTCTGTAGCTACAGTGGATTACTATTAATAATTATTTATGAGGAGAGATTTGCACAGAGCATGCCTGTCTAATGGTGGGGTGATGAATCTTCAATAACAATTCACAAGCTGTCCACCTCTTCAGGCAGGCAATAAGCCACTTTACCTCACCTCCCTCACGCTACCACCACTCACACTTGTCCTACCACTGGTGTAATGTGTTTTCACATGTAAAACTCACACTTCTTTCACACTTCTAGGGTGAAGTAGGAAGCTGCAACAGACTAATATTTCTTCTTAGATTAAAAATGCCAGGACAGGGATGTGAGAAAAGCTTGAAGGTAGGTAAAGGTCAAGACTAAATATGCAGGTGCAATGCATTTTATTACTCTAGGCTTCTGGTTCAGAAAGACACCTAGAACTCCAGCTCCTCTCAGATGTATAACAAGAAGAATTCAAGTTTTCCTCTGTATTTACAAGGGGATCTACTGAAGTTTTACGTAGTGTACAAAGTCCTTAACTCCTCCTCCAGCAGTGAGCAGAGTTGAAAATTTAACTTCACACACATGCTGATTTGTTAAGCTGAATTAAGGCCACAGCACTTGGCACCTTTTAGGGTCAACTCAACATGCACCACAAAGTACCTCCAGCCTACCATCACACAAGGCTCCCATGAGCAATCCAGCCCTGGGTGACTAATAAAGAAATGAAGTGACAGTGGAGGCGAGTGTGGGTTTTGTACCAAATCAGATCTCACAGTTTCCAGCCATCGTTACTCAGTTCAGGCCAGACCTGGCAGTGTCCCACACAAGACTACACAACTCACAAGTGGAAAAAATGAACCAGCTCCCTTCATACCCATGCCACAAACTGGCTCTCCAGTGCCAGTGACTGCTGCTGCACTGCCAGGTACATGGCAAACTGCTGGGAGCAGCTTTGCCAGAACTAATTCTCATGCAACTGACTCGGTAATTTCTAAATAACTATGGTTTAGTGTGCCAAATTACTGCCTTGTCTCAGCATCTTCTAGTTTTATTTTAGTTTGATTTCTCCCCCAAAACTGGGTAACCCAGAGATTTTGACAGGAATAGCCTAGTGAAACAGAAAGGAGAAAAGCAGAGCCTCTGTCACTTACGTGGTGCCTGTGAGAATGAAATCCCTTGGACACTTTACAGTTCTACAGGTTATTACTTTTCTCTTTCCGTCCTCACACTATCTCCCAGGAGGAGAAAATCCACAACCACAGGCTCATGAAATAATAAGCTTCCACTTGGTTTTAATATATTTTCTCTTTAGCCAAAATTAGGATTATATCCCCTTAATAGCATATTTTATTCCTTCAATGCTAAAAATATTGAACTGAGCTTAACCATTTTCCAGTGCTTCCTTCTCTAGTAAAGAAATTCAGGGCATCTTTGTTATTTCAGTTTTCAAGCAACACTACAAAAATTGAGCAAGTTGATATCATTGTACTTGTTTCTAAAGCTTCAAGAAAGAAAACCACTGTTTTGAAAGTGCTTGATTTTTAGGAGATTACAGTGACTTGCAGTGTTACCATTTCTACTTTGTGATGTGCACACAGGCCCAAATCAAATAAAATTTCACTCTCTTCAAGATTTTGCAGCTTTAAAATTGTTTTTAACATGGACTTGGTAACTGTTGTTTCTGCCATCAAAATCTCCAAATTGCAACAGACCTTTGAAATTAAAAAAAAAATAAAAGAAAGAAAAATAATTAAAAATTGCCATGTCAATGTTTTTGCTCTCTTACTCTATACATAAGAGTTCATCACTGCTACAACTCTGTTAGGAGAATCTAAAGGAAGAAAACAAGAATGTATTTGTACAGAAAAACTCTCTGAATTATGTCTTGTCTCTCCCCTTTCTGCTTGTTCACTGGAGGGGAGCTGCCTCAGAATCACTGTGCTTTTAAGAGCCAGGATTAACTCTTCCTACAGCATATCACAAGCAATGAAATCTGGTTTCCTATCACTCTCTGTCTTCTGATTGGATGCTTTCACATGTAAGGGGGTAAAAACTGCCTGAAGATTTTCCTGATGTCTCCCTGCCTGTATCATGTAAAGTCCCTGTCATCCCACAGAAAATGGGAAAAATTACAGGCTTTCCCTCAGTGGAAATCATAACTGAGTTTCTTTCCTGAATTTAGTCTCTATTTTCATAAAATTTTGGGGAAATTTGAATCTTTTGGACCTCTAGTGCCATGTCATATTTTGCTGAAAGTGCTCTAACATTAGGCAGGCACACAAGTAGAGATATATAGTATGGTCACAAAAGCATCATCTCTTAAGGACACAAGATAAAAAGAAAATTGCAATAGCTGCCTGTATGTGTGATTATTGGAAAGAGCCTTGCACCCTTTTGCAGCCTCATTCAGGCAAGGAGCTGTCTATGTTATGAGACAATTAGCAATCTGATGAGCAATTCACACATGAAAAATATTACATATATCCTAACATCATTTTAGCTAAGAACAGAGTAGTAATTACAGCTGAGATTGCCTGAATACTTTCAGTCCCAGTTTGGGGATTATTATTTTTTCCTTAAACACTCCTAACTCAACTTAGTCCAATCCTACTCGCTTTCCTCTGGGTGAAGTTCACTTCAGTGAGACCACTGATGCAATGTATTTCCCCCTGCTGTCTGCCTGGAGCTGATCTTGTAAAAGACTCAATTAAAGAATTCAGCTGCTGTTAGGAGGAGTTTGCTGTGGTGGGTGCAGCAGAGAGCTACACACTGGGGTTTAAGAAGAGCTTTCGCTTTCACCAATAATAAAAAATGAGAACAGAAAAAACAAAGCTATTGTAAAATGTTACCTGCAACCTACCCTTTTGAAACCTACCCTTCTAGCATTTTTTCAGAGGACAGAGCATTCCTCTACATACAAAGGTAATTTGCATTACAAGTATAACAGGAAATGAAATAACTTTAAAATACAAATCAGGAATACAGCCAGTATGCAAATCAACATCCTTATGAGCTGCAATGAGGAACAAACAAATCAGTACTATTCCAAAATCAGTACTATTCCAAAATACCTTTTAATGCTTTTTATATTCTCTTAGCATCAACAGATAAGCAAGGCTAAAGATCTCACTAATTGCCACATACAGCAGCAGAATCAGTATATACATGTGACTTAAGATAGCACAGTTACTATATACCCATTTAACCTCAGGGAGGCTACCTGATTCTGTGCAAATTAGGAATTAACCTACCATGTAGACATAATTGGCCTCACAGCAACGTAAAGCTGGTGGAAACAACACACTCGGCAAACCCACACCACTAGTTAATGCTGTTCACCATTTAACAATGAAGCAATCAAAAGTCAGTAATTTCATAAAACCAAATGCAGTGTTCATGAGCCACCTTTTAAGTCTTTCATCAAGCAGTTTCATAGATGCACTTTTGCATTGCCAGGTACGAAATTCAGGCTACAGATTCATTAGATCTCTGCCATGTGCACAAGGTCCCGTGCACCAGCAGCTGGTTAGCAAGTGACCACATGGAAGTTTTTGGTTTAGCAAGTCAAGGGTCCCCCCTGACTTCTGTCCCGGTAGAGCCAGACTGCCTCAGCTTTCTTTCACTTACTGGTGGTTGTTGAGAATCAGGGCATGCACAGAGTCTTTTTCTGTGGAGCAAATGATGACAAGGTCTTACCCTGTGCCTACTGAGTCATGTGTCATATTGCTTCATTAATGTCGACGTCAACTGTATGAAAGGTGTCCTTGCTGGGAAAACTTAGGAAAAGCTGGTATTTTGCTGCTCACCTATATTCTACAAAGCTTTACACAGAAACAGTGGGCTTTGGAGAAGTAGATGTGCCAGCTGCTTGAGAATTACTCTCTAAATTCACAGTTTAGAGTCAGGTCTTGAACTAGACTTGCTTCCTATGAACGATTTGGAGCTCATGTTTCTGAGAAAGTGCTTGCATTTTTTTTGTGACCACCCCATTTCTAGGATCACTCTCTTAGTACACATACAAAAAACACACTACTATCACTCAGACTCTCTCTTACATCATTAGGAAGTCAACTCAAAGTTCTGGCACTGCTTAGCTAAGAGGCAGGCCTGCAGACAAAGTGGCACAAGGAGGGACAACAGTGTCACATTTGGGACACTTCAGTATAATGGGGCTTCTAAGAGGGACACTGGGCATCCCTCAGACAGAAGTCCCCAGTTAGTAGCTGAGATTCATCTGCAAAATCATGCTGAGGTATTAAGGCTGGCCAATGGATGAGTTTTTCATCAGCACAGGAAGAGAATCATACTTTGTAAGGTCCTATCTACAAAGCCCCGTGCAAGTTTAGAGGTTAACAAAATAATTATAGCACATTTGTATTTGCAAATAGACTAAATAACACACAATGAGTTTGGGAATGGTGGTGGTTTGATACTTGATTTTAAAGATAGTTTTAGAGACATTAAGGAAACCATATGTTTGACTAACTCATTCTTACAATCCAAATAGAGGTAGAATGAGAAGGACTGACAGCTGTATTTCTTTTTTTATGAAAAGGCGAAGCATGCATAGAGCTGGTATTCCATCCTTTCACCTACTAAAATTATGGTAATATATGAATAAAACAAAACAAAAGAAAAGAAGCTTACTCAGCCCTGATTCTGCAAACATCTGACCAGGAGCAGAATGTGTCAGCTGTCTTCCCCAAAGCAAAACATTCTAGTTTTGTTAAGTACTGCTAAAAACACAGAGGTCCTTGTGTGCTTTGCAAACCTGTAAAATACCAATAGAAAAACTTGCTCAAGTCAACTACTCTCAAAAATAAGGTATTAAAAATATTTCAGTACCATCATGCCATGTGTGTTGTCTGCATGCGGGTATTTAAGGTTTACAACGTACTATTTGGCCAAAGGCCCAAGAGGGCAAGCTTTTTACCTCTTGCCTGAAAAGCCATACTTTCCCTATCATGGGAAAAGAAAAGGAGGAGGTAATTTTCAGAGAATGGTCAACTTTCATTATGACTTTTCAAGGTTATAATTATTACTATTCTAGTGTTAATTTTAAAAATAATATGCTTACTCAAAATAATTAATCTTTTTATATCAGAACTTTTTAACACAAAGTATTATGTCAACATGAAGTTTAACCTCCCACACCAAGGACAGATAAATTGACATTGGCACTGTTCATTTTAAGCGTCTTAAGTGGTTTACAAGGTTTAATATAGAGAAGATTGTGAAAATACTAGGGTTAAACACCCAAGGGACCTTGGGGAAGAACCAAGAACTGTGACCTTTTGGATGTCTGACTTTGCAGACAACAATTGTTTCAGTGGTTTTCTTTCTCTTTCACGCCTTTGGTTTTTGGTTGTTCAGGGTTTTGGGGTTTTTTTTGTCTGCTTATGTCTGAAATTTAATTAAGACAAGCTTCCCAAATGCTACTGCTTGGAGCTCATAGCAGAGATTCCTGAGAACTCCTCCGATATCTCAGAGCAATAGTTTTATGTGTAGCTTGAAAACAGGCTTCTACAACGTCCTGCAGTGAACTGCAGCTATTCAAGACTCTTTATAGATAAGATGACCATCAGTAACCTTACATTGTATTGCTTGGTAAAAATGCTTTTCTCAGAGCTGACAGGAAGTATTGTTCAACAGTTCTGGGCAAAGTCAGTTTTACTTCTCTATTTTAATGTTTTATTATGCGTTTTGTCTATGTATTTAAGCTCAGCCTCCGAGTCTTGCTGCCCAACCCCCCCCATGAACAGAGTTTTGCTGCCTCCTTCCACAGTTCACATGCTTTTAAAAAGGTTTGAAAGTTCTCATTTTACCTCTTTAACTAGAAAATATCAGAAAGCATCATAGCTTAGAAGAGCTAAAGAAAAGAGAGCGGTGAAGTTATGGATTAAATATTGAAATCAATTATCTTCTTACCCTGTTTCCCTGGGTGCCTTTAACTTCTTTTTAATAAACAAAGAATGTTCTTTCTGAGCAATACCCACACTTGAAAACACCCCAGCCACCTGGGAAGTGCAGGCACCTACTTCAACAGTGGTTGAGCAAGTAAATCTCCTCAGGTTGCCCTCTCCACTTCATGGTCAACACGCTAACCAGGAACCCCGTACTAAATGTTCTCCTACTCAGGCCAAAAGTTTGGAAGTCAGGTTTACAGACATGATTTAACTACCTCTAGAGATGACACCATCAGTGGACTAAGCTTGAAATATTCTTGTAAAAGCAAGAACAAACTTCGAAGCAAGTTTGGGGGATATAAATACACAAACAGAGCATTTGGAGAAAATCCCATAGGTATCACCTTAGAGATTTAAGCTTTTGCTAGCTGTCAGAGGAAATTAAAATGCCAGTGAGGATATGGGACAGCACAGTTGTGCTGGTTTAAAGGTAAACCAGCAGGGGAAATGAACTCAACTCAAAAGACAGACCACAAGTCAGAATAATAATTTAATAACACAACAAGTATGATTATACAGACAAACAACCGGCTTCAATCCACAAAACCCCAAATGTACAACCCAGCACCCTGGGACATGAACAAAACAGTGTTCCCCGGGCCCTCCCTGAGTCCAAAGTAAAGGGAGAGCAGAAAAGCCTGCTCGTGGGAGAGCTGTTGCAGTCCAGTCAAAATGGTGATTGCAGTCCAGTCGAGGACAGGAACATCTACAGGCCTCTACTGCTAACAATTTCTGGGAAATGGCATGGAAGGCTATAGAATACACAGTTTTGGGTTACACCCATATCATGATGAACTGGTCTCAGCTGTCCTAACTAGGACAACAGTATAGAAGCCATCACAACAACGCTCAATACATTTATTTCTCATTGACAATTTAGATAGGCATGATCTAATTGCCATTTTGGTGCTTTTTATTGAAAGGAGATTCCACAGGGTGCTAAGCAACTATGCCTAGTGCTTTTCTCTAGCTAAGCTTCACTGAAATCCACTGAGCTTGAGCACAATTTCAAGTGCACTGCTGCACAGGACAACAATGCTTAGCACTTCTTTCTTTTAAAGATGCAATTTATATTTCTCTTCTATTTATGGATCATCTCTCTCAGCTTGGCAATGACCGACAAGAAAGTGATAAAATGAGGAAATGTAATTTGTCATTCATTCTGTGTAGTTTGTAAAGCTATAGCTTCACAATTTCCTTTCTTCAGATAAATAATTTGAAATAATATGAAATAGTGTAAGCAATGATGGTGGATGGAAACAGAATCCTTCAAAGTCCTGTAAGACTGAAAGATACCACAAGTAATGACGTATTTTCTTTTAAATCCCCTTCATCTATTTTCAGACAGTTCTGTTTGTGCTGGCCTAACGGCAGCTTACTAAGAAGCAAAGAAGTATATACAACATCTGTGTGGGTAATAAAACTTCCACACAGACTAAAATACTGGTACTGTTGTATGTCTATACATAAACCAAAAATAGTCATGTACACATTAACCTAAGCCAAGTTTTTAATGCAGATGTGCCTCTGATCTATGGTTGTTTGTGAGGTTTTAATTTAAATCACACATGCTTACTCACACTTAAGACCTGAAGAGCAAGAGAGTTGAAATTTCTAGCACAGTGAGTTACAATGCAACAAGAACTGCCTTTCTCAAAGTATGGTTCTCCATAGAAATGTCTGGATTCATGAGGCAAGAATTGCGTCTTAATAGCTCCTGGATTTACCCCCAAATGCTGGATACTGAGGAAGGTCAGACCATACTGAAAGAACCTTTACTTCTGTTCTATTTTACATTTTTATAAAATGAAGTATCCCTTTTGCTGAACTCCTGTAGGTGGTAGTGTTGGTATAAAACATTACAAAAAATTACTGAGGCGGGTTGGGACACTGCCCAACCCTCCAGAACACTTCAATCTAAGGCATGTTGGCTTACTGCCAGGTTATACTTCCTCTAAGGATGGCATTCCTTATTCTTAGGATCTATAACAAGTAATTAAATTACATTAATATCCATATTTGTTCAAGAAACAGTAACACCTGTGATGTCAGAATAGTTAAGGAGGGGAATACAAACAGAGTCTATAACCAGGACAGCCTCCACTGATCCTGTTAATCTTGAAGTTTAGCTTGCATTTCTTAAAACAAATGTAAACAAATAATGATGCTTCTTTTTCTACCTTGGTCCTCTACCTTTGGCTAAACAAACAAAAATCCACAAGGAGTTGTGTCATCTAGATTTGCTATGGCTTTTTGAAAAAAAGTGAAAAAAATCGCAAGACTTTCACTTAAGAAAAACGTTTTTTCTTGAAAAACAGAAAACCAAAAGTTAGGGTTTTTCTCAAAAGCAGGTAGAATTGGTTTGATGGAAAAGGTAATTAGCAAATTGATAGTTTTGTTCTTTGTTGAGATAACCCCAATTACTGGATGTGGAGTCAAACACACAGAAAATGTCTTTCTGTAGAAATGCAAAGTTTCCGTTTCTTCTTCTACCATAAAAGTGTTTGGTAATAATTATAAGTATGCCAAACAGAACTGAGCTTCAAGTCGAGGTAATGGAAATAATAAGACGCTTTTCCAGAGGGTAGGTAACTAGGTAACAATTGGTGATTCAAACAACTACCATACAGATGGAAAAGAGCTTTAGGAATTCCTTATCCCCTTAGAAAGAGAAGGCTAACAAGAAAACCTCTCTGGAAATAAATCAACCTCAAAAAGCCAACATGAAACTTTAACAGGGTCAGTTTGAGACACTTGCAACAGGAAAAAATAAAAACATGGCTGAGGAAGTGTTTGGAAAGCCACAATCTAGCAGAGCATATACCAGCATCTCTGGCTGAGAAGTGGCTCCACAGCGAGGATCTGAATTCAGCTACAAGGTCCCTCTGTTGCTTTTGTCATACTCAATGACTCTCCAAGGCAACATCACTAAAACAAATGCCATTTCAGGCTTGCTCTGGATTTGTCTTTGGTGAGCGCAGTAAGGGCTACAGGCCATGTCACCCCTCTTTCTTTACCTGAATGATATCAGTGGTCTCTGCTCCTTGCTCTCCTTAGCAGTGCAAGTAGTAGTGGCTGCTGCATCTTGGCAGTGACTTGTTCCAGCTAAAGTTGTCTTTTAATCTACCAAGAAAGTCAATTTTAGTTGCCTTTTTTTTTCCCTCCCACTCTTTTGGGCAAATTCAACTGAGCTGTTAAATGTCAAACACAGTAAAGATAAGGCAGTTCCACTGAATGGCAGAATGAATCAAATGTCTTAGTTTCACAGGATTAGGCTGGCAAGTCTCTGTTGAAAAGCCCATACAGTAAATTTAGAGCTTGTCTTTTCCCCTACTAATGAAATCAGCTGTTTGACAGCATAATGTCTGTGCCAGAATAGTCCAAGAAGAAAGGACTGCCATGAGATCTGAAGTTTCACAGGAAAAAAATGAATACAGAGATGAAAATGTACAGGGAGCTGTAAATAATTATTTTAGAAAGTATTAAGCAGCTGCTAGATTTCCAAAACTCAGCTTCACACAGGAAAGGACTGTAGAAGCTATTCCTTGAACCTTACCTATGGTTTTGAAAAATCTAGTCCTTGCACAGTACCAGACAGAGTAAGGCATAAAGAATGTCAACCTGAAAGGAAGGTAAGCTTAAATTTTAGGAATAGGCACATATCTCTGCACACCTGCCTCTCCAAATAAAATCTAGTATTGCGGGGAGGGGTTTTTATCAACTTTTGCATGCATATCAGAAGCAAGCCTGGTACTCCACCTGCTTAGAAGTGCCACATTCCTCATTTCAAATGTGAGGTTACGGCATACAAAACCATATCCTCTTTAATCAGTAGTTCAGCTCTGATTGGTGGTAATTCAAAATAATATATTTCTGACAGAGGGTTTCATAGTGAGTATAAAATAACTCTGTTGAGTGCTCAGAGACCTGACACAGACATCACAAATGGTACTGGTTAGCTGAGCCACCTGAGCCATAGGGTCCTAACTACCCTTCTGCATTACTGGCAGAGCTCCCCCAGAAGCAGAGAAGAGCAATAAGAGAAATGTTATTCTGTGTTTATCCTGAAGGTTATTGATACAGCAAACCCTAAGTTTGAAAATACAAAATGGAGTCCCCTAAGGTGAATTGCTATTAAGGAAATACTACCAAGCCTCTGCTGGAAAAGCAAGACTTGGATGGCCGTTCCTTGAGATACAGGTAATGAATTCCTTTCACCCTAGATTGACATAATGCCTCTGAAAGCTTATAAAACACATAGTTATTGCTATTAGTACTGAACTCTTGTGCTTTCAAGACTTTCTGGGAAGCTTTAGCCTATTCATTACAAGTAAAACATTCAGCAACTCCTCTTTCATAACCTTAGTCTTCTAAAGAAACAAATTAAATGATAGTTCAAATATAAGCCCAACAAATCACTTGAAATCTGAATTAAAGATCATGCTTCTATCGCTAAAGCAGTTAAACATTTTCCATTGCTCTTCAGTCTTATTGAGTTTTTCCTGTCTTAAAAAGCATAAGACTGTGTGAAACTCAACAAATGGCAGAATAGCAAGGAAATAATATACAAAGATATAGTCATGCATTCCCATCGTAATTTATTCTGGTCTCCTTTATTCCCCTCTTGTTATTTTTCCAGGAACTTGAAGATGAGTGATTACTACACATGGAAATACTGAACTTCCACTATTTGCAGGAATACTCATAGACTGTGTGTGGAAAGTTGTGCCTAAGGAAGGCAATATATGCTAATAATTTCAAGAAATATTAAAAATACATCCAGGTAAGGAAGAGGCTCAGCCCAGCGTTTGTTAGGCGAGTAAACCACAGGGTGGATAACCAAAAGATTTATTGAACAAACAATCCATCCTTATCAATTTGGAGGCACAATAAACAAATTGCTTCCTACAAATTGAGTGGATACCTATTAGCAAGATCACTTACTCAGAATTAAATTCTGGGGGTGCAAGTTAAAAACAAAAAAACCACAGCATAAGCAGAGCTGCCTAAGTAGAAAATGTTTCCAGCAGGCAATTTTCATAACCAATTTGCTCAGTTGCTAAACAAGTGGTGCACACTTCATACATATTCATTCAGCCACAAATGCATTGCGTGACAAATATAATCAAGTCTAGGAAAGAGAGAATGCAAGAGTTGAGAGAATTAAGGTAACTAGTAAAGGAAAGCAAATCACTTCATCTCTGGTCTACTGGTTTGAAACAAATCCATATTAGCAGACATGAAGTTGTAACCTTCCAGCGTCTCACTGTGAACTGGCCCATGTGAAATGAGTTGGCAGACTTCTCCTGCCCTACTAAATACCAAAACCTGTAAATGCCAGTACATAACTGACTTCTGACTTCTTAGACATCACAAACACAAGAATAAGAATCAGCACAGCAAAAATACACAACCACTGTATATTTTCCTCAAGGATGCAATCTGTTCTTTACTACAGAGTTTACTTGCCTGGTCTGACTATCATTTTCCTGTTATTACAGAATTACTGTCATGCTTTGAATGCTAATGTCTGGCCAGTTTCTGATTAAGGATCCAAAATAATATTAATCTCTCAATTTCAGAAGCATTAAGGGTAAAAAGCTGGACTAGAGAAAGATGCCATGCCCTTCCACACATAAAAATGAATAAGAAGTTGTGATATCTAACATTAGAAATATTTAGAACTTGTCCAACAAAAAGAAAGCTATAAATTTTGCGCTCAAACGTTGAAATGAGCTTTTTTCTTTTCCCCTCATGTAGATAAAGTGTTAACTAGCTACAGTTATCGTAAGCTTTGTGAATGTATTTATGGGATTTGGATCCAGTTTTAAAATAGCTATAAATTACTACAATTTGGCACCAACCTTTCATAAAGACAGAAGACATGTACAAATTTTGGTTGCTGCAATAATAATACAAGATTATTTTATTTAAATGGCAACTATAATCTAAAGCCTGCAGGTTCCAGGTTAAAGACTCCTGCCAAGTAGAGTCTGAATTTGACTTCATGAGCTAGGAAAGTTCTACATGAGCACCAGTTATGACCCAGTTTTGATGACCTTCGAATACTAAAGAGAAGAGCACACTTAGTACTACCAGTTTTCATAATTTCTGTCTTGACTAATACTTTGTCAGAGGCAGTAAACCACAGTTTCAATATAACTCAGTATTTCATGACACTTTGGAACAAATTTCAAAGATCTGCTTTCAAAGAGAAAAGACAGGGATCTAGAATTAGCAAAAGTCACTTGCTAAACCAAGTTTCCTGGTTTCCTGATACAATAAAACAACCAGAATGATAAATTGCACTTACATTCTGTCTAATCCTACCTTATTGCAAAGGCCTTCCTGGCATGCCAGGAGGAAAAACAGAAAAACCTCACTCTTCCAGCACCAGCTGAACTGAATTCATTGAGCTGAACACAAAGTTATTTTTTCTTGCTCTGTCTTCTGGCAGTACCCTCTTTTCTGTGGAGGAAAAGACCCAAACAAATCAGTGGTGTATCTACAGAATATACACGCCTGAACAGCTTCCAAAAAGCAGCAATACAAAGTCTTGATAATTTGGAAAGCAAATCAGCCCCAAAGCGTTTGGATTAGGTTCCACCAAATGTTTTTTAGTAGCAAGATTCACCTGGCTGAAAAGCAATGTAGCAGAGGCACAGGTACTCTGGGGTGTTTGGGGGGTTTGTGGGTTTATTTTATTTCGGGGGGGTTTTTCCATGGAAATCATTACACTCCATTTTGAGATTCACCCTCCTCCTTCAGATGCATAAGACTTCTGTGAGGTTCAGGGTTGCCAGAAAGGCAACAGCTCAGAGTCCATCAGACCTCCCAGTCCTGCTGTTGAAGCTGAGCACAGGTCCCAGCTTCCTTCCCTTCCACCTTTTTTCACACAGACTGCAAACTAAAGACTTGACTGCAAAATTATTTAGTCTACTACAGCAATATTTGACCAACTCATGGAAATCAAGTCAGTACAGGCCCCTTCTGTGTAGCTCTCATAATCCATTTTTAAAGTGTCACAAATGATGGAGGCTGAAGCTAAGATGCCAACAGAACTTACAGTATTGCAAGTGCTCTCATGCACCAGTAGTCTCTAAACTAATTTAGCCACATCAGTAGCACTTTCATATTGGTAGTGGCTGGCCTTGTTTACAGAGAGTTATCATTTCTAAGGCAACAGCTGAATTCAACAGCTTGTAGACCTCCCTCCCACAAGCTTCTCATCGCTTATGTGTGGAGGACTTGGAGGTGCAGAAGCAGGAAGGAGCTGCCTTCTGCCTTTAATTCTCCCACAGCTTGATGGCTGTTTGGAGAATTAAAGCTTTACACACAAACTACACACAACAGCCCCTTGGAACTCCATTGCTCCTATCAGCGTGTTTCTGCTCAGAGAGGGCTGTAAGAGAAGCATATAGCATCAAGATATAAATACATTAAAATGATTGCTCCATCACCCAAAATCACAGGAAGCATTCAGCCTAATTGTATAGATTCAAGTGCTTTGAAATGAGCCACCAGGGGCTGTGAACCTAAAGAGAATCCATGTGAGAAGCCGTTTTGAGTTTGTGCTTGGTTTATTTTTTCCTCTTCTTTTATCTTCTTTAAAGTACATACATTTAGCTCCCTGAGTCTGTGCCTTGCAGAAAGTGTCTAAAGCAGGGTGAAGCCTTGCCAACTGGGTAAGACTGAAAGCCTGAGTGTGGAAAGGGGAGATGAGCTGCAAAGGCATCAAATTTGTGCCTGGAGCTGGAACATGCTAGTCTGAAGATGGCAGGTGGGGAACACCAAAAAGCCTGTCACATTGCCATCACAGTGAATGAGGGGACATTTTTGTATTAACTGAAATGCAGAAGATCTTTAAAATAGTCTCAGTGTTTGAAATATATGGGACAATGCTGACATGCCCTGGTTTTAGTGATGGACTAAAAATTATTTTAGTTCGTCTTCCAAAAAATGCACTGAGTGCAGTTTGAGGATTGGCAGGCTTCTGCCAGGACAGCTCCACTGGAAGAGCTGAGAAACTTCCTGAGTACTTTTGTCTAAAACAAACAAGAGGCTTTCCAGGAAGTTCTGAGTAATCATCTGACCTTGTGTGTAACTTAATAGTTACAGAGGGAAAAAACTGTCCTGAGACGGAGAGACAAAGATTTAAGTAAACAAGAAAATGCATCAGCCTGCTTGAGGAAATTAAGAAAGAACAGACTGAAACGTGACACAGGAATTTTAGCAAAGAGCAACTAATCCAGTGAGGCTCATGAGAGAACTCCAAAGAATGAAACGTCGTAAAGACAGCCTACTGACTCCACACCAGGGATTTCCTCTGGTGCGTAACACCAGAAGAGCCTTCCCTCCTCTCCAGAGTTTAAAGTTCTCCCTGTCTTCATGTAGGCCTCTTACTGCTTTGCCCAGCTGAACCAGCTGCTGTCTTTAGAGATGATGGGAACAACTCTGTTCTCCACAAGAGACCACTGTATCTTCATAAACTAGGGGAATTAAGAGACTCTGCAACCTGCATGCTTTGGACAGGGATCCCATCACAACCTACAGAAATCAAATCAACTCCTGATAGCAATACTCCTCTGTAGCAGCTTTTCCACCTAAAACCAAATTAACTAGAGATAACAATACTATGACTTTTCCAGATAGGCAATCCTGCCTTTTATGCTTTGATTCTCCTGTAGAAGGAAGCTTCAAAAGGCCTAAAATAAAGAGCAAAACAAGAGAAAAAAGGTGATGAGCAGTTGCAGAGAAAAATGAGCTTTTTCATGCCTACAAGTTGACACTGTGGGAATCTTAACACCAAATATCTCTCCAATTCAATGATGAGTACAATGTTGACTTTTGTTTGTTTTATGTATATGCATGCAGATAAATACATGCCAACAAGTGTCTATTCATGTTCTAAAGCTCTCTCATCAGCTCTTAATATTGGCCTTCATTATTTTAGGAAGAACTAGTATTAGGAAGTATTGTATCTTTATAGCTGTGCAAATACATCTACACACCAGAGGAAATAGAAATAAATCCCTGGAAGTTTAAGGGGGGCCACAGACACAGACATACACAGACACACACACATATACACATAAACACCCCATTACAGGTCTCTGCTGTTGCTCTATCACTAGATAATTCATAATAGCAACATCCTAGATTAGCAATACTTTCGGGTCACAGACAGCACAGCATCTACTCTGTCCTGAAGACACCTCTACCATTGCCCCTTAGCCATCAATATTTCCATGTAGACACCATGGTAGAAAGCTTAACTGATACAATATGTAGACCACACTCATTGAGTTGTGCTGCAAAAGATTTGTCATGCTTTAAGGTAATTTTGCCTTGTGTGCAAAAAAACTGACCATACACCCTGTCTCTGAGATAACCTTAACCTTTCATATCAGCACAGCAGTATTTCAGTAGCTCCTCATGTCCAACACAATCCAAAAGATGAAAGAAAGAGTGGAATACAAAGACAACTTTAAATAGCAGTGTTCTGGCCTTGTTAGAAGTAAGTATTTGTGTTCATGCAGGTGTCTGAAAATACATTTTTTAACTTTAAAGTGGTAAACACCACCATTGATTTTTTTTTTTCCAATCTGTACAATTTTTTTAAGATAAACTGATTGCAAAGTATATATTGTCCCTTGAAGACTGCCAGTGAACACAGGTGGACTGTGGGGCCTGGTTTTTTTAGACTTTTAAAGCTAAGATTGCAAACAGATGCATGGACAACTACCCCATCCCCCCTCCTTTCCTGCAGAAGAAAAAATAAACAACCAAGTTTGATGATTTCTTTAGAGCAAACACCAAAATGCTTGAGACAATAGAAGTTTTATTTCAGACTCCTCACCAGGGCCAAGCTTACAATCTGCAAAACATTCAGCCTTGAAGTGCTGAGAAGGAGGAAAGGACAGCTGTGTGTCAGCATCAATCTTCTCTGTGAAAACACAAACCTAATTTGTGCCCTTTGATCTGCATAGTGATAAAAAGTAGAATGACTCCAGACACCACTTTTTTCCACTACAGCTTTACAAAAAAAAAAAAAAAAGAAAAAAAGGCAGCAAAAAATAGTTGCAACTTGCATGAATACTAACAGCTTAGCAGACACAAGCATCTGCTAAATGTAACAGTGGTCTTTCTATCCCTTCCATTTCCACAGTTGCATTTGGGTTTATATTCATACAAACATCTACCTTTTGCACAAGTCAGATTCTAGTCACAGGTGTTATCCTTAGGAAAACAAACTTTAGACTGAAAGATAGCATTCATAACATACAAAATCAAGCCTAAGAGAATAATCAAACACAGTGATGTTGCTCCAGTGCAAAACAAGAGAAAGATGTCCAGTCAGACACTGTCCTCTGGCTTGTGCCACTAATTTGACAAACTGAGAGCTAGTTAGTTATCAAGACTATGCTTAAAGTTACAAGCGAAGGAACAGGACAATTTTTTTTTCTTTTTCAGAGTCTAAACAAATATAATGCATTTTTATCATTAGTACATTTTTGTATAATGCATTCACTGTTGATACTGCAAATTGGAGAAATGCCATTGAAACAGACTGAAAAACAATGGCAAGATACTTTTCTCTTTCCAACTCTGTAGTTGGAATACCAACACCTGTGATATCACAATTGGAAAGGATTATGATCCACCAATAGCTTCATCTACCAAAAGCAAATAGCTCCCCTGAAGCACCCAGGGAACAGGAGCTCATGGCATTGGCCCAGCATTAGAGGGTCTTCAAGCTACACTCAGTGTCAGGGCAGAGCCAGGAATTACTGTTCACCATGGAACTCTGTGATACCCCAACTTCCAGTGCCTTCCCACATGACAGTGAGTACTTCCCAGTGAGTATGAGCCAGGGGTACTGTCCTGGTATAAGCACCACCTAACATATGCACCTTCCTTGAAAAAAGCAGTTGCACGATTATTCTTGAGAATGGAGACTGGAGCAATCTCTGAAGAGCAAATTCATCAAAGTTATTGATAGAGTAAAAAACATCTTGAATTTTATCTTGAAAATTCATCATTCAAGGTTCATGAAGCATTCCGTACACTAATCATGCATTGCAATATCTATGTAAACTGTAAGGCATGACTATGTCCATCGTACAGGATAAAACCAGATCTTTAGAAGATAAAGTCAGCCTTCTCAGAAATGTCTATTAATTTTGGAAACTGTGGGGCTTACTAACTGCAAATCTCTCCATATGTAAAGTACAAGCTGCTCTGATAACTTTGCTCCAATAGTGGTTTTAAAAGTCCATAGCACCTCCAAGAAAAAAAAGACCAAGATTTTTCAGATGTTGAGACCTCCAAAATGAATGGATATTCTTTGAAGTGTTAACCTTATGACTGTACTAAGAACATATGCTGAATCAATGACAGTGTTGGAAATGAAATTTCTGGGTCCTTGCTGCTTAGGAAACTAAAGAGTTGTGCTTCCCCCTCTCACC